AATGCTATTAACATTGTCAATAGCAGAGGAGAACTCGGGTAGACTTGGCATAACAGCTAGAGTTTCATCTTCCACTTCCAAATTCAGCTTAGCAAGAGCGTCATTCATCGAATCCGCCATTCTGGAGAGTAACGAAGCAGAGAAACAGGGGATGCAGCGTGTCGTTTCACTTTAGCCAGGGGGTTTCGAAGACAAGAAGTGAAGAAAATTTGTCGATTTGTCGATGAGATCTTGAGAATTGCAGGACAACGATTACAAAGGCGAAAATATCTTGAGCTTCTGGAGAAATCTGGAGAATCACTCTTAACCACACGATTAAGGATAAGGACCAAGATTAACGGTCGTACGCACACCTCCGTCAGAAGGAAACACTCTGAGAGAGAAAGAGAGTCCTAAGCTCCCCTTCTAGCTCACGAATCTTTTGTATAGTAGCTAAAAAAATTCTCTCTTTCTTTAATTTGGTGTAAAAAATAAAATGAAGTAGTCTCCTAATTGTGTGTTTTTTGTTTTTCCATTAAAGTTTTAATCATATAAGTGGACTTTTAGTCCCCATCATTGCAGTATTTGGTTAAAATTTTGTTTATGTACCTAAAAATTAAATCTAACAGATAAAAAACTATGTGACTCTTCCGCGTACACGCGGGTAAATTATTTATATAGTTTTGTTTTTAATTTTAGTCTTTAAAAATGTGATATATGTAGTTGTTTAGATTTTTATTATAAACATTATTGCTGATTCTTTTGTTGTTAATTTTTTTGATCAATAATATCGCTTTATTAATATTTTGAATTTCAAAAATTTAGTTTTAAAATTTAATTATTTTATATATGTAAACGTTTCAAAGAAAAATGTATAATAATTTAATACACTAGAGTTAAGAAAAACATGTTAAATTTGGTTTGTCCGAATATCTTAAGTAGAATTTACAATACAAATAAATTATTTAATATTTTAAAACATTAAAATATATAATCATAAATTTTATAAAGGAAAATTAGCATGAATGACTATAAAAAAATATATCTAATAATCTACCAAAAACCACCCATGTGGCCAAATCTTAATCACTAAGTTTAGGGGTTTTAGTTAGATTATTATATAACTTTTTTTTTTGGTTATTCAACCAATTGACCATTTTATAAATGAAACAAAGATTAAAAAAAAAATTGTTGTTTTCGAATTAAAAAATATTTTTATTACTTTCAAATTATCTTGCGTTGAAAAAAATATTTTAACAGAATAATTATATTTATTGTATGAACTTGGGAAGTTTTTTTCACAAACATATCAAAATCTCTTTTAAAAATTTGGAAGTTCTTTTTTATTATTTTCAAAAAAAATATATAGTGATTATTTATGTATATGCACTTAGAATATTTCGCTCTATTTTTTATATTTGTAAATACCTTTTTTCAGCAACTTTTATTTTAAAATTTGAGTATTTGTATATTTTTGTGAATATTTTTGTTATTCGCTCTATTTTTTATTGATCCTTTTTTTGGAGTTAAAAATATATTTATCCGATTTTCTTGTTTTACTGTATAATTGAGTTAACCTTAAAAATTTTTAAAAATAAAATAAGATCGATTATTCATATTGTAAAGCCAAAAAAAATTATTTTGTAAAAGTAACAATGACTAAATAAACAAAAGAAATTTAGAGATACATAATTTAAAATCAAGTCTTATTAGGAAGGCCACTAATAATCTTCTTTTTGATGAGATCAAGTTTTTGGTACTAACGTCTTAACTTTATCAATGGAGCCGTTATTCTCATCATCCTTTTTTACTAATACATTAACATAATTTTGTCTCTTATAAT